CTATATATATATATATATATATATATATATATGTATACATGTAAATATATATATATATATACATATATATGTATACATGTAAATATACATGTATATATATAAAAATAAGAGAAATAATATCATGACACATTTTTACATTCATTTTACATAAGATACAAGGGTAAAATGGTTATAAAAGTATAAAAATTTGTATTTTTTCAAGAAGAGAATAAAAAATAAAAGTAGTGTCAAATGAATGTTCAAAGAATCATTATTCTATATATAATATTATCTTTCTAAAAGTTGCACACCAACTTGATAATAAAATCCCTTCATTCAGCTGACATAAAAAAACTCATAAATTTCCTAAATCCTTAAAATCCCCTAAATCCCTTTTTGCTGACAAAAAAAACTTACAAATTTCCTAAATCCCTTCTTCCAAAAAACGGTGCGGAGCTGACCAACAAAAAAAAACTCACCTTTTTGGAATAGAGAAGAGGACTAGAGACAACCTCAAAGACACTAATGGCAAACGAACAACTATGCGATGAGAAAACGACGACACAACTATGCAACGAACAAATAATGATACGATAAACGAACAATGCGCCATTAGGGATGAGCAAATAGTGACGTCACAAGCGGTGGCACCACAAGCAATGAGGGACATAGTAAGGAGACCATCAACAAGACGCCAATCTATTCTTGACAAGTTTTGGGTTTAAAAAGTTTCTCCTCTAAACTCGCTAACTCAGTTGCAAACTCTCGAGTTTGGATAAGTTGACCAAGTTTGCTTTGGAATCTACCGAATTTACACCAAAAGCGAATTTCCTGAGTTAACTCGAATATTGTGTGTAAAAACGTAAATTCGTACAAGTTAATTAACAAATTTAATAAGAGTTAAATATGTTTTTAGTCCCTAAACTATTGGTCATTTCTGGTTTTCGTCCCTCTTTCAAAATAAGGTACAATTTGGTCCTCATTCTTTTCGAAACTTTAGTTTTAGTCCTCGAAACTTTGGTTTTAGTCCTCGAAAGCTACCAAATTTTTAACGGTGTTAGTTTTCGAGGACTAAAACCAAAGTTTCGAAAAGAATGGGGACCAAATTGTACCTTATTTTGAAAGAGTGACGAAAACCAGAAATGGCCAATAGTTTAGAGACTAAAAACATATTTAACCCATTTAATAAGCATGCATAGAACACTATTACTATATAAAAAAAACTAACATTTAAGTTCAAAAAATTTGAAAAGAAAAACATAAAAATGAAACAAAATAAAACCAAAATCACTTGATAACTTAAAAACAAAAGGCATATTTAACAAATTTTATAATATAACAATCTATTTTAATATTTCATTCCTTTCCTCAAATATCTAATCACATTTTTATTTAAAAAAGTGGACTTCAAACAATTTTTCAGAAAAAATAAAATTACATCTTTGCCACCCCATGTAATAAACAATGGTATGCGATACGTAAAAAGAATCGTGTCTGCATGAAATGCTAAACAAACATTTCAGTTTATTCAAATACTACAATTATATGAATGGAATTTAAATTTAAAGAACCAAGATAAAACTTTGTTTAAGTCTAAGCTAAAAGCACGATTAAATATAAAGATTTTAATGTATAAAGATATGCACATTAAAAATTAGGGTTGAAAATATTTTTATACCTAAAACATCAGTTAATTTATCCTTAAAATAATGAGTATTCGTTCTTTATTTTCAAAACGTTTAGTCGTAATTAGAGCAAAAGTAACCATTATTATTAAACTTAAACAGAAACGAATATGTCTAAGTTAGTATATTCAATCTAAGTTAGTATTCACACAAATACACATTCAATTAAAAATATATCTAAGAATGCGAATTAAGAAAAAAAAAAACAGATATCATTGTACCATATCCCTAATCGGCAAGTTTGTCTGTATAAGGCAACAATTTTCTAAACTGTATAAGGCAACAATTTTCTAAACCTGGGCTGTCTAAAGCTACAAGATGTTGCTTGTTCCTATGTTTTTCTTACTTTGTCCTTCAAGTAAAAACTGTTTTAATATTCGACACTGGATGATAATAATAGAAGAATATCACACAACAAATAAGGATTCATCAGTGTTACCAAGACAGATGAACCACACATGATTGCTCTGAAGCATAATATTGATCCATTCATAATATTGCAATATCTGCAACAAAGTGCACTACATTTACAACAGCAAAAAATGAGTGCGGTCCATGGCACCGCTACCACCTAGAGTAGAGAGAGCAAGAAATAATTATTCAAAGTACAATAGTGTTTGAACTCCTAAATATAATGTAGAATGCCTCATGTAGAATTAGTTGAATCAAGAACCGCTCGAATCTACATGTTTTCTTTTCTTTTTTTTTACATAGAACCTTTGGTTCATCATCTAACCCCTCAAAATAACTCCTTTTGATGTAAATAAAGAAAAAAGAGTTAAAAAGTCGCTTCGTGCTAAGCAGAAATCATGCCACTAAACGCCAAACTCAGCGATTAAAATTCGTTGCCGAGACTGAGACTTTAGTGCGGAGTTTGAGATATAGGCGCTAAGTGCTGGAGCTAAATGTCAGATGTACTTATGAATCCTCTTTATGAAAACAATTAAGATAGATCTAACAACATGCTGTACAGAAATAGATGAAAAGAAAAAGATAAATTACCTTGGAAATGATATTCAATGCACTTCTCAAAGAAATTTGATCTAGTCCAAACTCCACCAAATGTTGAAGAACAAATACGAACTTGCTGTGGCCGTTCCATCTTTATTGTTTCTTGTCTTTTCAGTAGCCATTCGTATTTCCTTGTCCCTCCGCTAGAACCTTTGCTCACTTCGTTACTGGTTAGCATATGCTAAATGTAAACCGTGGTTGTAATTGTTTTCTAAACAAATGCATTTTCTCGCCTTTGAATTGAGAATATACACTTTTCTCATAAATAAAAACACACCTGATCTTCCGTGCTAATGAACTGATACAACACATAAATTTCACTCTTCAATTTTCGGTATTGTGCAACAAGTAAAGAACAATTAAGCAAACAAGAATAACGATAAAGAACATTACCTGGTTCAAGCAGCAAGGGGTGCAGGATGAACTTGTGGCAAGGGGTGCAACTCCAACTTTTCTTTCTCTCACCAGAAATCCCGACAATTGCAGACTCCATTCTCAAAATGATGAAATCGACTTGCATCTCTTACTGTTATCCTCCTCTCTGTTATAAGAGTCATAAATTTTACTGCATTATGGCAGTCAACACATATACGCAAATTTTTTGTAACTAGAATGGGGTTGCTAGGACTGGTATTAAGAATTCCAAACGCAATGGCTATTTTTTCACTATGATAAAGGAGAATCTGTTCCTTCTCCTCTTCTTCAACATCATGGAAAACAAAACCAGAATCTGCCTGATATCCCATTCTTTTCATCTGCACCAACAGTTCTTGTAACTTGTTATTTATGGATACTGACTGTGGATGAGATCTATCACCCCCAATAAATCCATGGATTACCCCGGAGATCTCAATCCAACTGCATCCTGGGCTTTTCTTGTAACCTTGATGCTTCTGTATGTTTCTAATATGTGCTGCATCGTCCCATCTGCCCACGGAACTATAGATGTTAGACATAAGAACAAAATTTCCAGTACCCTCAGGTCCCAGCATCTGTATCTTCTTTGACACCTGTTCACCTATTTCAACATTATTGCGGGTCCTACATGCAGAGAGCAATGCACTCCATATACGAACATCGGGTTCAATCGGCATCTTTTGAATAAAGGAGTACGCTTCATCCAGATTTCCTGCTCGGGCCAGGAGGTCAACCATGCATATATAATGTGCCATTCTTGGTGAGATGTTGAGTTCTTGGCTCATGCTATTAAACCAATATTTCCCTTCCGTCACAAGTCCTGAATGGCTACATGCAGATAAAACAGCAATAAGGGTCACATCATCTGGCTTCATGCCTGATGCTAGTAATTCGTGAAACAATGAAAATGCTTCTATGTATAGCCCATGAATGCCATAACCAATTATCATTGTATTCCACGAAACAATATCCCTCTTTTTCATTCTATCAAAAACTTGCCGACTGATATGAATCCTTCCACACTTTGCATACATGTCAATGATGGCATTACAAATGGAGGTATTTGCAGTGAAGCCTCTAACAACTGAGTATCCATGGCAACAGATCCCATGTTGTACAGCGGCCAAATGGGAACAAGCTGGAAGCAAACCTATCATGGTCGCGGAATCTGGGTCAGTCCCAGATAACTGCATCTGGCGAAAAATAAGTACAGCTTTTTCTGCATAGCCATTTTGCACACATCCTGAAATAATAGCACTATAAGAAACCGAGTCTTTTATAACCATCTCATCAAGAAATCCAAGTGCATCATCCATGATCCCACACTTGGCGTACATTGATATCAGTGAGTTTCCCACTGTTGTGTCTGAATTAATCCCTGATTTAATCATGTAACAGTGCAAGTTTTTCCCCTTATTCAGATCAGTGAGATTTGCACATGCTCGAAGTGTGCTTGCAAGAATGACAGGTGTAGGATTCAAGCCATGCATATACACCATGTCATCATAAAGGGCCAAAGCATCTCTCATGGAGTCACAAATGACATATCCCCCAATCATAGCACTCCAACATATCTCGTTCTTTTGGTTCAGGGCATTGAAGATCTTCTGGGCATAAGATAAGTGGTGGCACTTAGCATACATATCCAATAGCCCAGTTGCAACAACCACATCATGACTGAAGATCTTTCTTACAGAGTAAGCGTGAACAGTCTTCCCCTGGCATAAGGCATTAGCTTGTCCAATTGTGGGTAAAAGAGATACAATAGTGGAAGAATTAGGTGCTATTCCGGCTAGCTGCATTTGCACNAATGATGGCATTACAAATGGAGGTATTTGCAGTGAAGCCTCTAACAACTGAGTATCCATGGCAACAGATCCCATGTTGTACAGCGGCCAAATGGGAACAAGCTGGAAGCAAACCTATCATGGTCGCGGAATCTGGGTCAGTCCCAGATAACTGCATCTGGCGAAAAATAAGTACAGCTTTTTCTGCATAGCCATTTTGCACACATCCAGAAATAATAGCACTATAAGAAACCGAGTCTTTTATAACCATCTCATCAAGAAATCCAAGTGCATCATCCATGATCCCACACTTGGCGTACATTGATATCAGTGAGTTTCCCACTGTTGTGTCTGAATTAATCCCTGATTTAATCATGTAACAGTGCAAGTTTTTCCCCTTATTCAGATCAGTGAGATTTGCACATGCTCGAAGTGTGCTTGCAAGAATGACAGGTGTAGGATTCAAGCCATGCATATACACCATGTCATCATAAAGGGCCAAAGCATCTCTCATGGAGTCACAAATGACATATCCCCCAATCATAGCACTCCAACATATCTCGTTCTTTTGGTTCAGGGCATTGAAGATCTTCTGGGCATAAGATAAGTGGTGGCACTTAGCATACATATCCAATAGCCCAGTTGCAACAACCACATCATGACTGAAGATCTTTCTTACAGAGTAAGCGTGAACAGTCTTCCCCTGGCATAAGGCATTAGCTTGTCCAATTGTGGGTAAAAGAGATACAATAGTGGAAGAATTAGGTGCTATTCCGGCTAGCTGCATTTGCACAACTAAGTGAATTGTTTGATTGTAAAAAGCATGAAATGAAAAGCCAGCAATGATTGCATTCCATGAGACAATATCCCTGTGGGACATACTGTCAAATACTGTGCGTGCTTCAAAATAATTGCCACATTTGGCATACATGTCAAGCAAGGCAGTGGAAATGTAGAGATCGGCCTGTAGGCCAAGTGTGAGAACATGGTCATGTATTTGTCTCCCAAGTTCAATTGCTTGGAGAGCTGAACAGGCTTTGAGAAGAAAAGGGAAGGTGAAGTTGTTGGGTGTAACACCTAGTTGCAACATGCGATGGTACATATGAATGGATTGATGAAAAGGGCCAGTCCAAGCATAAGCTCGGATCATCATGTTCAACAAAACAACATTTGGGTTTGGAATTTGGTCAAACAAGTGACGAGCAAGTTCGATTTGATTACGTGCCGCATAGAGACGAACAAGGTCATGAAGACCACGAGGGTGGTTGTTGATGTGTTGAGAATGGCGGTTATTTTGAGTGTGAGGCAATCGAAGTTGGTATTTGGGGTTTGCAATCAAAGCTTTTCTATGTTTCAAATATCTTCGCATCTTTATCTCTCTTGCATGAAGGTAAGGACTAAGGTTCTTTTTACATAACAAAGATTGTATCCTTATATTTCTTTGAATACTACTATGTCAACACCACTATAAGACTCATATACAAAGTTCACCCCTCCACTCTTTTAATAGTCACCAAAGCAACACATTCATGCATCCAAAGAAGTGGTTACAGATAGGGGTGGGCAAAGTATACTACACTGCACTAAACAGTTCGCCTGAACTAAACTGAACTAAAAAATAGTTCGGGCGAACTGAACTGTTTTTCGTTCACTCATAGTACAGTGCAGTTCTGTAAACTAATTTTTAGTTTACTTATAATGCAGTGCAGTAAACTAGTTCAACAATCCAGTTGACATTTAAGATGCGTTCTTCAAAACCCATTCTACTAAAGTAGCAACACCAAATCCTGTTGCACAACGCTGCTTTTCATTCCAAACTGGACCAACCATGCCAATATGCAGCCATTGAACCTTCTCATCAGCGAACTATAAAAAGCACAATTGAGGATCTTTTGTACTAACAAATATTGGTAAAATGATCATATATAATAATTACCTCTAATTGAGGATCCAAGACCAATTATACAGGCCCTAGTTAATGTTGCCAGGTCCACTATCTGAAGAACGGTTAACCAACCTGTTAGTTCTAAAACCAAACTACACTACTAACACGTGGTAAGGTTGTTTCAAACTACATAATCAAAATTCAAAAATACAATGACAACCGACTAGCCATTACTAAACACAATTCATAAAGTACTTTCTGTATAAATGTTTTTTCAGACTGTACAGGAACGCCACACGCAGGGATCTTAACAATGAAAAATAGTATTATTCAAATAGTTGAACTTTAGATCAAGAGGACAAATTAGAAAGGTTACAACATTTTCTAGAACTTGTATTAGAAATAAAATAGTTATCAGTCAAATCTAACACTTACGAAATATTAAACTATACACCAATACATTATGATTTATGTAACTGTAGATTCAGATTCAGATTCTTAGCACCATACCTTTTCAGCATCCTGGTTACAAGCATACACCAGAGCATCTGCAAGAGTAAGCCTACCCTCTGCATCTGTGTTATTGACCTATAAAAGAGGTTAATCAAACCAAAGTCATACTCTTGTGCAATTATATAGATCTCATTGGTCAAACTTGAAAGCATAGATTTGCATCATACATAGGGATATAAAGTAATTATATATTCTACTATAAGATATAGGGATATATACATTGGTCCATATAAGAAATTATATATTCTACTCTTAAGGGCAACACACTATCTCTTCAAACTTAGAACCGTTAAATTCTAAGACAACAAGATAAAACCGTTGAAATTTAGATAAATTTAACACTTTTAAGTTAACCTACATAATAATGCAACAAACAATGTAAAACTTGACATTATTGGCTATATAATGTAGATAAATATCTTGATTGCATAATTGGTGTATTCCTGTATCAAAATATCCAATCTGAAAGCAAAAAAAAAAAAAAAAAAAANAATTACCTTGGAAATGATATTCAATGCACTTCTCAAAGAAATTTGATCTAGTCCAAACTCCACCAAATGTTGAAGAACAAATACGAACTTGCTGTGGCCGTTCCATCTTTATTGTTTCTTGTCTTTTCAGTAGCCATTCGTCTTTCCTTGTCCCTCCGCTAGAACCTTTGCTCACTTCGTTACTGGTTAGCATATGCTAAATGTAAACCGTGGTTGTAATTGTTTTCTAAACAAATGCATTTTCTCGCCTTTGAATTGAGAATATACACTTTTCTCATAAATAAAAACACACCTGATCTTCCGTGCTAATGAACTGATACAACACATAAATTTCACTCTTCAATTTTCGGTATTGTGCAACAAGTAAAGAACAATTAAGCAAACAAGAATAACGATAAAGAACATTACCTGGTTCAAGCAGCAAGGGGTGCAGGATGAACTTGTGGCAAGGGGTGCAACTCCAACTTTTCTTTCTCTCACCAGAAATCCCGACAATTGCAGACTCCATTCTCAAAATGATGAAATCGACTTGCATCTCTTACTGTTATCCTCCTCTCTGTTATAAGAGTCATAAATTTTACTGCATTATGGCAGTCAACACATATACGCAAATTTTTTGTAACTAGAATGGGGTTGCTAGGACTGGTATTAAGAATTCCAAACGCAATGGCTATTTTTTCACTATGATAAAGGAGAATCTGTTCCTTCTCCTCTTCTTCAACATCATGGAAAACAAAACCAGAATCTGCCTGATATCCCATTCTTTTCATCTGCACCAACAGTTCTTGTAACTTGTTATTTATGGATACTGACTGTGGATGAGATCTATCACCCCCAATAAATCCATGGATTACCCCGGAGATCTCAATCCAACTGCATCCTGGGCTTTTCTTGTAACCTTGATGCTTCTGTATGTTTCTAATATGTGCTGCATCGTCCCATCTGCCCACGGAACTATAGATGTTAGACATAAGAACAAAATTTCCAGTACCCTCAGGTCCCAGCATCTGTATCTTCTTTGACACCTGTTCACCTATTTCAACATTATTGCGGGTCCTACATGCAGAGAGCAATGCACTCCATATACGAACATCGGGTTCAATCGGCATCTTTTGAATAAAGGAGTACGCTTCATCCAGATTTCCTGCTCGGGCCAGGAGGTCAACCATGCATATATAATGTGCCATTCTTGGTGAGATGTTGAGTTCTTGGCTCATGCTATTAAACCAATATTTCCCTTCCGTCACAAGTCCTGAATGGCTACATGCAGATAAAACAGCAATAAGGGTCACATCATCTGGCTTCATGCCTGATGCTAGTAATTCGTGAAACAATGAAAATGCTTCTATGTATAGCCCATGAATGCCATAACCAATTATCATTGTATTCCACGAAACAATATCCCTCTTTTTCATTCTATCAAAAACTTGCCGACTGATATGAATCCTTCCACACTTTGCATACATGTCAATGATGGCATTACAAATGGAGGTATTTGCAGTGAAGCCTCTAACAACTGAGTATCCATGGCAACAGATCCCATGTTGTACAGCGGCCAAATGGGAACAAGCTGGAAGCAAACCTATCATGGTCGCGGAATCTGGGTCAGTCCCAGATAACTGCATCTGGCGAAAAATAAGTACAGCTTTTTCTGCATAGCCATTTTGCACACATCCTGAAATTATAGCACTATAAGAAACCGAGTCTTTTATAACCATCTCATCAAGAAATCCAAGTGCATCATCCATGATCCCACACTTGGCGTACATTGATATCAGTGAGTTTCCCACTGTTGTGTCTGAATTAATCCCTGATTTAATCATGTAACAGTGCAAGTTTTTCCCCTTATTCAGATCAGTGAGATTTGCACATGCTCGAAGTGTGCTTGCAAGAATGACAGGTGTAGGATTCAAGCCATGCATATACACCATGTCATCATAAAGGGCCAAAGCATCTCTCATGGAGTCACAAATGACATATCCCCCAATCATAGCACTCCAACATATCTCGTTCTTTTGGTTCAGGGCATTGAAGATCTTCTGGGCATAAGATAAGTGGTGGCACTTAGCATACATATCCAATAGCCCAGTTGCAACAACCACATCATGACTGAAGATCTTTCTTACAGAGTAAGCGTGAACAGTCTTCCCCTGGCATAAGGCATTAGCTTGTCCAATTGTGGGTAAAAGAGATACAATAGTGGAAGAATTAGGTGCTATTCCGGCTAGCTGCATTTGCACAACTAAGTGAATTGTTTGATTGTAAAAAGCATGAAATGAAAAGCCAGCAATGATTGCATTCCATGAGACAATATCCCTGTGGGACATACTGTCAAATACTGTGCGTGCTTCAAAATAATTGCCACATTTGGCATACATGTCAAGCAAGGCAGTGGAAATGTAGAGATCGGCCTGTAGGCCAAGTGTGAGGACATGGTCATGTATTTGTCTCCCAAGTTCAATTGCTTGGAGAGCTGAACAGGCTTTGAGAAGAAAAGGGAAGGTGAAGTTGTTGGGTGTAACACCTAGTTGCAACATGCGATGGTACATATGAATGGATTGATGAAAAGGGCCAGTCCAAGCATAAGCTCGGATCATCATGTTCAACAAAACAACATTTGGGTTTGGAATTTGGTCAAACAAGTGACGAGCAAGTTCGATTTGATTACGTGCCGCATAGAGACGAACAAGGTCATGAAGACCACGAGGGTGGTTGTTGATGTGTTGAGAATGGCGGTTATTTTGAGTGTGAGGCAATCGAAGTTGGTATTTGGGGTTTGCAATCAAAGCTTTTCTATGTTTCAAATATCTTCGCATCTTTATCTCTCTTGCATGCAGGTAAGGACTAAGGTTCTTTTTACATAACAAAGATTGTATCCTTATATTTCTTTGAATACTACTATGTCCACACCACTATAAGACTCATATACAAAGTTCACCCCTCCACTCTTTTAATAGTCACCAAAGCAACACATTCATGCATCCAAAGAAGTGGTTACAGATAGGGGTGGGCAAAGTATACTACACTGCACTAAACAGTTCGCCTGAACTAAACTGAACTAAAAAATAGTTCGGGCGAACTGAACTGTTTTTCGTTCACTCATAGTACAGTGCAGTTCTGTAAACTAATTTTTAGTTTACTTATAATGCAGTGCAGTAAACTAGTTCAACAATCCAGTTGACATTTAAGATGCGTTCTTCAAAACCCATTCTACTAAAGTAGCAACACCAAATCCTGTTGCACAACGCTGCTTTTCATTCCAAACTGGACCAACCATGCCAATATGCAGCCATTGAACCTTCTCATCAGCGAACTATAAAAAGCACAATTGAGGATCTTTTGTACTAACAAATATTGGTAAAATGATCATATATAATAATTACCTCTAATTGAGGATCCAAGACCAATTATACAGGCCCTAGTTAATGTTGCCAGGTCCACTATCTGAAGAACGGTTAACCAACCTGTTAGTTCTAAAACCAAACTACACTACTAACACGTGGTAAGGTTGTTTCAAACTACATAATCAAAATTCAAAAATACAATGACAACCGACTAGCCATTACTAAACACAATTCATAAAGTACTTTCTGTATAAATGTTTTTTCAGACTGTACAGGAACGCCACACGCAGGGATCTTAACAATGAAAAATAGTATTATTCAAATAGTTGAACTTTAGATCAAGAGGACAAATTAGAAAGGTTACAACATTTTCTAGAACTTGTATTAGAAATAAAATAGTTATCAGTCAAATCTAACACTTACGAAATATTAAACTATACACCAATACATTATGATTTATGTAACTGTAGATTCAGATTCAGATTCTTAGCACCATACCTTTTCAGCATCCTGGTTACAAGCATACACCAGAGCATCTGCAAGAGTAAGCCTACCCTCTGCATCTGTGTTATTGACCTATAAAAGAGGTTAATCAAACCAAAGTCATACTCTTGTGCAATTATATAGATCTCATTGGTCAAACTTGAAAGCATAGATTTGCATCATACATAGGGATATAAAGTAATTATATATTCTACTATAAGATATAGGGATATATACATTGGTCCATATAAGAAATTATATATTCTACTCTTAAGGGCAACACACTATCTCTTCAAACTTAGAACCGTTAAATTCTAAGACAAGATAAAACCGTTGAAATTTAGATAAATTTAACACTTTTAAGTTAACCTACATAATAATGCAGCAAACAATGTAAAACTTGACAATATTGGCTATATAATTTAGATAAATATCTTGATTGCATAATTGGTGTATTCCTGTATCAAAATATCCAATCTGAAAGCAAAAAAAAAAAAACAAACGCACAAAAATATAGATAATTTTTTTAAGGTGATTACATGGATATTTAACATCAAAGACAAAATGATAATCTATTAATACCAACCTTTGCTGAATGAAGTGAAGAAGAAAGTTTCTCAAGAAGCAGAGGAATGACAAATGGCTCAAAGAGAGGTGTAGAAGAGAATGCAGACCGCAGAAAAGTAAAATAATTACTTATCTTATAAAATATATTCACCAGTATCTATATGCAAAATATACAATACTGTGACAGATTCCAGTTGCATCTGAGTAATAACATAGATGCTCCTTCGTTTAAGGACAACAATAAGCTCAAATTGTATCCTTATGTGCATATCGTGGTGTGTGCATGCATGCAAGCAACTTCGTATTTTGTTTATTTTATTACATAACAGAAACAGAACACGAATACAAAGGATATTCCTAAACAAGACAATAAGAGATCAAGTTATTCTACCAAGCATGGCTCTCTAATATATGCCACCCCACAGTCTAATATAAAACACAAGCAAAAAATGCATTGTGTCTAATGCTAAAACCAGTTGACAAGTATAAGGTGTTATATGCCTTAAAATCTATAAGCTTTATGATTATTCATTAATAAATGTACTTTTTAGTATGGAGAATTTCATGGTTACTAATATTTGAAATTTCCCAGATTTCACAGAATTAAATATGTAACTCTATAGAGGGAAAACCTAGATATAGAAACTTCGCTTGAATATTTGCCTCCATAGAGTAAAATAAAATATACATTTAACTAGAAGTCGTGTAACTTTTGATGGTTATCTCCTTGCCTTGTGATGTTTTCTTAGCAAAACAACATCTAACTTCAGAAAGAAAGAGAAAAGAAAAAAATAAAATTCTTCTGCTAGTCCTGATATAAAGGCAAGACTGTTTAGAGAAAAATATTTTTTATTCAAAGAAAATGGGAGGGAAAATGAAGCATGTAGTAACAAATTTAAAAAATTTGGAGGTTCACATCAAAGACTAAAATGACTAATTGTAAGGAAACGCAACCAATAAAAGTAAACGAGTCAAATCTGAATGAAAGTTACACATACCATTAGAGACCTTGACAGGTCATCTCTTTGCACATGAGTATCTCCATTACTTGGCTGCGAAAGAAACAAAGATTACAGATAAATTACAAAGTGATAAAGCACGTGTTAATATGTTCCATGTTGATTAGAAATAAGACATAACAAACTCCTTGTAAGACTAGCAACCATTCCCCCCTTGAGCTAACCTTTCAAAAATGGATTGGTCCAAGTTCATTTCTAAAATTGTATAAGAGCCTTTCCAGTTTTAATGCTGAACCACCTATAGATACAATCTAAAACTTTATGCTTTCAGATCAATTTTGCGAACATTTCCAGGGCTATGAGGCCTGATGTTTTATACATAATTAGGCTACAAATTTTAACTTTTGTAACATCAAAATCCATAACTAAGGTAACTTACCGTAAAATGTCTATTGTGAGAATGAAATTATATTGAATCACTTGGTTTTTACATCCTTCTCCTTAATCCTATATTTATAGGATTAAGTGAATGGAACACACCTCACACACACTCAGATACAGCACATACACACTCCTTTCCAACTCACTCTTAGTTGGAACATACTTGAACACAACTCATACACAATAACCAATAATTCTAACACTCCCCCTCAAGCTGGAGCATACAGATTGTATGAACCAAGCTTGGAATAATTGAACTTGGTTTTGAACTGGATGATTTGTCTTCAAGAGTGAGGCAAACAGAGATGAGTTATCACATGTCAATGAACTAACAGCAGCTTGTGAAACTTCAACTTCAAAAGTGGATGAAGGAGAGCAACGGTGGACAATGACAAACTGCAAGGACTGAATCCCAATCAATGATGGATGAGTGACGGGATCAACAGTAGTAGCCGAAAGCTAAGAGCTACAAAACTGCAGGGACTACACTAAATCCTCATCAATGATGGATGGGTGACAGGATCAACAGTAGTAGCTGAAATCTACAAAACTGCAGGGACTACACCCATATTTATGTGACTTGCAGTGTCTTGGAAACGTACTTCCCCTTAGTGTGAACGGCGGAAATGTGAAATATCACAGTTGCTGGACCACTAAAACAACAAAATATTAAGCTACAATGCTGAAACAAAGGCATCAAAGATCCAAAGACATGTTCGAGGTCCAAAATTCTTTGCTGGACAACTCCCAAATGGTGATACTTAGCAGTGTATCACAAGAAGATCGGGCTAAACTCTAGCCCAAGAAGAACTGACGCAGTTGCGTACCGGACAGCGACAAACGGTGTCTGACAACGGCAAACGGTGTCTGACAACGGCAAACAGTGCCGGACAACGGCAAACAGTGTCTGACAGTGGCAAACGGTGCCGGACAGTGGAAAAAAATGCCTGACAGCAGAAAACAGTGCCTGGACAGCGGAAAACGGTGCCTGGACCATCAACGGCAGAGACGAAGACAGATGAAGATGGCAGCAATGGCTGCTCTGGAGGGTCTGAACAGAGAGAGGGAGGTCCGGCGAGACGACCGGCAGCGGCGCGGTTTGATGCCGATGCCGAGAAGGCGACGCGTGATGAACACGAGTCTGAGATCTACCGGAGAGAGGAGGTGCGTGACGGCGCATGCGGACAAGACAGAGACGGCGACCACCAAGGTTAGGTCGCGCTTGAAGAGACGGTCCAGATCCATTGGTTACCGGTCGGAACAGTGACGGTGGCCGGCGACAAGGCGGCGCATGGAGGCACGTGAAGATGAGTCTGGTCTTGACTCCGGCGGGGTTGGCCGTCGCTCGAGGACACGCTTCAGATCCGTTGGTCACCGGTCGAAACTGTGATGGCGGCCGGCGACAATGGAAGAGATATGATGCTCGTGGCGGCGCGTGACTGAGAAGTGGCTCTCGAAACCGGCATGGTTGGCCGTCGCTCAAAGAGACGGTCCAGATCCGCAGGTTACCGGCTAAAACTGCGGCGGTGGCCGGCGGCGGTGGCCGGCGGCGGCAGATAGCGGCGATGGTCGACGGCAGAGGCGACTGGCTGCACTGGTGTTGACTGTGGCACATATTTAAGAAGAAGAGAAACGGCTGCCCACTGAAATTTTAGGGGTTGCCGGCGGCCATGGCGGCCGGCCGCCGGCAGACAGCAGAGACCCCGGAAGAAGATCAGAGAACCTGCTCTGATACCATGTGAGAATGAAATTATATTGAATCACTTGGTTTTTACACCCTTCTCCTTAATCCTATATTTATAGGATTAAGTGAATGGAACACACCTCACACACACTCAGATACAGCACATACACACTCCTTTCCAACTCACTCTTAGTTGGAACACACTTGAACACAACTCATACACAATAACCAATAATTCTAACATCTATAATCCCCAAAACCTCCTTCCATGATTGATGGCTAATTCAACAACTTGCAAGACTAATATGTCTCTACAATAGCACAAAGACACCTGATTGTTTAAGTTGTTGTTGGAAGAACCTTGAGAATTTGTGGCTCTTGAATAATTGATGTCATAGAAACAATGTCTAATCTTGGAATAACCTTAACTAAACATTAGAATAACACAGTTAAAGCCACTTGGGTTTTGAGACAAAGCTTAATAAACTTTTATTTGCCCAATACAAAAACGTAAGAAGTGTCTTCTCAGAGAAGATGCATGATAAACAACTGTGGTAGAGAGAAAAAATAGAAGAAAAAGAGAGGTTTCCATGAACGAAGCAAAATCCTACACGCAATAGAACAAAACCGCAATACAAATTTCAACCATCAAACCCCATATCTTTTACACCAAAAGGCATCTTAAAACAGTGTTATCCATAGCTAAATTAAATATATATTAAAAGACTTTTTGGGAGATTTGGTAGCCTTAGATGGAGATTTGGGCTCCTTATAAATTTTATCAGACTTCTTGGAAAGCAAAACAGGATTAATACTGGGATGGCGAGTGATATCCTTTTGCTTCTCTTTCTAGGTAAAGGGGAACTGTTCTCAGAACCTTCGATGATGGTGGTAGAGCCTTCGACAGCTCGGCAACGGCAGAGAGCGGAAAAAACTTCGATAGCGGTGAGCCTTCAACGATAGCGAGCCTTTGACGGCGACGAACCTTCGACGATGGTGGTAGAGCCTTCGATAGTTCGGCGATGGCAGAGTGCGGAAAAACCTTTGATAGCGGTGAGCCTTCAACGACGACGACGGCAGCGAGCCTTCGACAACAACGAACTACGACGACAAGCCTTCGACGGTGGCGGACCACGACGACGAGCCTTCAACGGCAGCAAGCTTTCAACTTCAGAAAGGAATGTAATGGGATGTAAGAGGCGGGGAGAAAATTGTGATAATGAATGACCTAAACCAGTGTTAACTATACAATAAGTTCAAACTGTTAAACAGTATAATTGGTTTTTAGTAAATATAGTTCCAGTTTTTTAAGTACAAAACAGTATAAATAAACAATAATTTATACTGAACTTATTGTACTATTTCGTCTGTACCCCAGCCCTAGTTACAGATTACACTTCTCTAGTTACCTCTGTTCATTTTTTTGGACAGTACAAAACATGTATTGATTCCCCCTACAGACGAAACAATGTACTCATAGCATCCAAAATTTATAACAGCAATGAACCA